TGGGCAGCGGTGGTGCTGGGAGGGAAGCTATGCGGGGTGTTGCAGCCACCTCAAATTTCAATGTAGGCCCCCCACCTCTCATACTGAATGTAAGTTTGAATTCTTGTAATAAATACCCATTAGCCAGTTTAGAAAAAAGGCAAGCTTCATCTTTTTATCTAGGGTCATTGCTTATTTTTGCCTATGTGGTGAATGTTTTGGTTCTGAATTTTATCTTTAGAGGCCTTTAACAAAGTTAACCTAAAAGCGACCCTTGGGCAAACATTCCGAGAGATCGAAACCTAGGGGCTTTTGAAAAGGGGTTGGCAAAAGAGGTCACAGCGGTGTGGAAAATTTCCCAAAGACGACCCAGCAGAAATCTGTTAAAAGATCTGAGCCCAAATTTGGGAGTAGTGACAGGTTTGGGTAGGAGGGGCCCAAGACGGCAACTCACCCAATAAAAACTGTAACCTACAGTCCCAATTTGGAGGTACCCTCACTTGCAGAACACTGAAGGAAGAATCGCAAGTGTAGGCTGGATCAGACTGATCACCAGAACCACCCTCTCCGTGAACAAGAACTCCCGTTTACGCTGAAGCCGCAGAGCGCCCAAGTGGGACCGAAGGAAGGGGACTTGTTCCTATCACTGCTGAGACCAACCCTAAAACCATAACTAAAGAATGAAAGTATCCTTGGGGATTTGGTTTCTAGGAATTCTAGGATTGTAAGTATACCATAAGAAATAACCTTTACTTGTAATTGTAGTTGTTTTTGTAATACTAATTCTTATAGCATTGTTTGGAAACGATTTCTTACAGCTAAACAGTGTTATATGTGTAGCAAGGAATTTTAAAATTAAATTGTGTTGTATGAATTAAGTGTGCAATCATTGTGAAATCGTACAGTCAACCAAATACTCCCCCAGCCAGGTGCATCAAACGAATCAGTAAGTTGTGTTGGATCTTTCTCTATTCCATAAACCAATAGAGACACCACCCTGTAACCACCTCCCGCCGCTGCCCACCTTGATAACAGCACAGTGGGGCCCCTGGCCCCAGCTGGCAGCTGCAGCTCACCCCATACATATTCTGGGGCACCTGACTTCCCATGCCCTCCCAGATGAGTGGCAGGAGCACTGGTGGGAGCTGCCCCTTGCCCCCCTGGACGAGCTGCAGCTCTGTACACCCTGTCCCAACTGGGCAGCGCCTACCCCAGCTCCAGCCCCACTCCCTCCTTCACCGCAGGGTGTGTGTGTGTGTGGGGGGGGGCGTTGATCTGCCCCCCCCCATGCCTCTTCCCTCCCCTTTCACCATAGCCGACTTACCAGCTGCACTCAGCTGCATCAGAAATTGGATTGGTATCAGCCAATATGCCTCCTTAAAAATTGGCTATCTGTATTGGCCCCCAAAATGTCTATCAGTGCACTCCTAATTCTGGCTAGGGAAGAGTAGAAGTACAGAATACCTAGAAGATTCTGTTTAAAAAAAAAAGGACTATTCTTTAAAAACTATCACATTTTAATTCAAGCTGAGTTTTCAATTAAGCTCAATCTCAAACTATACTAAAGGGCATTTAGCTGGTGGGGCGGGGGGGAATGCAGTTCTAGTGGACTGATAGTCAGGTGAAGTGTACAGGTTTAGCTTGAAGACAAAATAGAGAATAATATTAATGTAAAGACTATACAGCTAGGAAGAGCACAGAATTTAAGCTACCAAGATGATCTGCAAACCATCTGTAACTCTTCAACGCTTTTTTTGCCTACACAGACATTATGACACTGCAATCTCTTCTTCCTCTTCCGCTCATTTTCAGGACAGATATTTGTTTTCAAAGACTTTACAGACATATAAAGAATGTCTACAAGTCTACTCAGATGTCATATTTATTGAAAAACCACTAAGCATAATAAATTCCTATATTTAACATGACACATGTTCTTGAGCAGGATGGGGCTGCCATAGAAGATAGAAGTCTAGAAGAGGGCTTTGCCAAGAGAGCGAGAAAGCCACAGGAAGCAGGGTGAGACTGAATTATCTTCAAGGTAACTCTAGAATTCTGAAGGAGAGAAGGTCAGACTGAATCATCAGAATACCCTTATTCAGGACAGCTTATGCCTACAGCCATTTTAATAGAAGATAAAAAGGAAGGAGCTCTAAACATGAATATTTTCAGGCAGGAAAGGAAATATTAGTGATATAGGACTGATGAGAGGTGACAGATTAAGAGTGCTGGATGCTGAAGTCCTCTGTATTCACAGAACAGATGCAGCACATGCAGTGAAGAAGGTTGCTCCCCTGCTAAGCCTCTAGACTGACAGTGTCCATGATAAGATAATCTTCAGTCTCTGCTGAAACTGTCAAACATGGTGTTGCTTAGTGTCAACTGTAGAGTTGTAGTTGGTTTAGAAATTATTATTATATTATATATTATTATTATATATATGGTTTAGACATTATTACTAGTGTTACTACAGACAAACCTACGGCTACCAGTTCTTTTTTAAAAAACATAATTTTTATTTTTGCTAGCTAATCCAGGATTTTGTAAAAAGTAGTGCAGGACCAGCAACTGGTTCTGCAGAGGTGGCTGCACCCCAGCTCTAACATCCCTACTGCAGGAGGCAGACCACACCATGGGAGCAGCAATCGGGAACTAAGTCCCCAAATCAAGCAAGAATCCTGGCCCTTCTTCGAGCGCCCCCCCTCCCCTGCATGCTCAGAGGCACTTCCTATCCTCTCCCACCACAGCTACTGTCCCCAGCTAGTCCAGGGGCAGAGGGAGTTCCAGAACCACTCCTGCCCCACTGCTGCCAGTTTGCATGGGGACCCAGGCTTGGCTCCCCCTAAGGAGGATCAGGCAGGGAGGAAGAACCCACCTGCTGCCACCATGGCCTTTGTCCTCACCTGAGACCCTCACCCTCACCTCCTGGCCCTGCTCCTGGGAGTGGGCACAGGGGCACGCTGCCCCCCTTCTTGATCTATCCCCCCAGCACCTTCCCTTTCCCCTACCCTGCCCCGCCCCTTCCCCCCCCCACACACTTACCTGCTGGGGTAGGTGTCAGTGTCTGTGTGTGCCTCTGTGTCTGCATATCTGTGGGTCTGGGGGGGGTGTTGTGAGGGGCATCAAGACGTCTATTGAGGCTGGGGGGGAGCGGAGGGGGGGGATCTTTATCACAGATTTTGGGTTTTTAATCAGAGAATTTGCGATTTTTAATCAGAAAAAAACAGGATCCCTGCTGATAAGCTAGACTGACCTAAGCTGTTTTTACTGATTTAAAGACAAAAATGATAAAGCAAGAGGAAATGTGCCAGCTTAGAAGCCTTTTACATTGTCATATGGGAGAGGTGGGTTTTCAAGCAATATCAGACTTGCTTCTGCAGTCACTGGAGTTTGGCCATGTTATAAACAAAAGGGCTAAGCTTCAAGCTGCTTTGCACTGTTAACAGTTTGTGAAAAGAGGCAATAATTTAGAATTGCTTCAGTCTATAAAACTTAAATCACAGCAAGAGCTAACATCAGTAGGATGGACATTTTTCATATTGTGAGCAGATACCATATAGAAACAACAATTTGGAAACTTGCTGGCTCCCAGATTATGGATGGAACAAAACACTGAAAGTTAACATTGTTAAAGATTATTTCCATTTTGGTTTTGTTTTCTTTTGTCTGTGTAACCAATTGTTTTTTGAAGATAAAAAATTACTTTCTGGTGATTCTGAGAGAGGTAAGGATTTCTTAGGAAGAGATCTTTTATTGGACCAGCTGTGTACTTCTAAGCTCTGAGGTGACAAATAACCCACATAAAATCTATAGGGCAATTATTTATTGCTTCAAGCTACACCTTGCCAACTATTATAACAATGCCTGCGAACAATGCCCTGTAAAATAGAAATGCTGAACTTCTGACATCTTCCAATGGAATGCTGGGCAAAGCAAACCAGTTACTGCTGCCTCAAGAAGTCCTGAGGCTTTTTTTCTGAGAAATGAATATGCTGCATCAAGACATTCGTATAGCACAGTGGTGCTTAACTTCTGGCCCAGTGCACATGGGGCTGGGACAGCAGGCCCAATCTGGCACATGTGGGGCTTGTGTCACATGCTGGATCACTTCACAGGTTGACCCCACATAATTCATTTGGCTCACAGCCCAGAAAGGTTGGGCACCACTAATGTAGCTCATTCTCAGAAGTTCAGTATTGTTCTCAATTTCTCTCGTTAATTAAGGTCAAACATTGTCCTACGCAGAGTCTTAGGCTTCAAATAAATGCACTGCTCTTTAAAATCTAACTACATTAAGGAGAAAAATTAACAAACTGCACTAATGTTTAATGCAATTTGGAGATGCAATAAGCTCTGACAGATACAAGTGAAAGATTTAAATTTAGCAGTGGTTACATAAAACCAAAAATTGATACATACTTACCTGTGTACATTTGAGAAATCCCACTGAGTTTGTGTGTAAAGTTAAACTTGTGCAAGAGTGTTGGGAGGACTGAAGTCAAAATACATGTTCTGGAGATGTGACATTCTGATACAATTTTGACTCTGCCCAAACCCAACACGCAGTACAATATACCCAACATGTAATATTGAAATACTTTTAAATTATCTTAAATTATTTCAAGAAAGGCTTAAATTATATTTAGGAACAAATGACATTTGACACTTGCAGAAGAAAAACAATTCTAAAAATAACTATCTAAAAATGATTGGAGAGATTCCAATCTTGTTTGAAAAATAAACCATAAGTAACTTGTCATGCTAAGCTTTTATAAACTTTAGTTATCAAATGAAACCTCAAATTTCAAACAACCAAAAACAAGCAAATCCTGCTGAGTATGCCAGGATTAAGCAAGAAACTGACTACCACCAGACATTTTTACCTGACAGAGGTAAAAGTCTTCACAATAAAGTATTATGAAGTGCTGCACAATCAACTTTACAATAACCACAATTTGGTTATTTAACATAAACTGTACTTTATTATCTAATTTTGTAAAAAGAAAAATTATGGAACTTACCATTTTCCTAGGGTTTCAATAGTTTTTCAGAGATATTGTAGGAAGAGAAAGACAGTTTTTAGCCATGGAAAATGTAGTGTGTAATAGACACCTGACAAGCTCTCATCCTGAAACAAAATCCAGCAAATACACTGATTATTTAAAACAAGATACAATTGGAATATCATGCCAATAAGGTTAAGTCATACATCTATTTATTATTTCTATTTAGTATCCATGTTCATAATATTAGAATTGGGGCCAAAGGTCTGTGTGAGCCTAACTAACAAGGTTAAGGTATAACAGGCTCTATGGGCAATGACACAAAAAGGTGTGATACTGTCTAGCTGCCTTTGATTTCCCAGCCTGAGTAACAGGGTACCCACTTACAGTTAGGTTGACTGGCAGCAATACCTGTGCTGTAAACCTCTCACCATACAGGAAAAAATGATTTTCCTTCAGCAGCAGCTTTATTAGTTATTACAGAGTTCCCAAAATTCATAGCAGAACTCTTATCATAAAACCAATGCTGCTCTTTCATAAATGTCAGAAAGGAGAAAGCTAAAAAAGAGTTCCTGTTTAAAAAATAAGTTCTGCTGGTATTGTGAAAAGAGAACAGAACAACAGAATTCCCCTCTTGGAAGGGGAGCACAATTTACCATACAGTCAACCCCAACACACGGTGAAGTAAAGGGCTATACTGAAATTAAACTCAAGTGAAAAAAGCTATAGTATCTTGTCTACAAAGGTCATTAGGAGAAAGTTAGGGTTTGATAGTGACATGCATGACAAGTCCCTGACTACCATAACTTTCAGTGGAACTACTTATACTATTCAACGTTCCACGTGTGGCAGCTGAAAAGTATGTCTGTGTGATAAAAGTGCTTGCTGAAGGCTCTATGAAGATTAGACCAAGTGTTTTTCTGTATTTGTTTAGATACTAAGCTATAAGTTGTTGCTAAAAGCCTAATTATAGTTTAAGATGTAGTGAGGCCTTGTATAAAGTAAAACCTAGTAAATTTAGCAAAGCCTAAAAGTAGTAAGACCCTGTGGTGCAGTTAAAATTACCTTAGCAAAGGAATGCAAGGCTTGTACTGCTATTGGTCAGTCTAAGGACAGTTGAAGAAAAAGGAATCTAAGTGGTCATACGTTATCAGTGTCTTTCAGAAGCTATAAATTAGCTGAAATATTTGAAAACCATTCAGAAGGAAGATGCAGCTCTGTGAAAAGGATTAGTTAGGTGTTGCCTGGATCAGTGGGCCCATGGACCTCGAGGAGCCCAAGAACTGCATTCCAGGGTCCTTCCCGGCACCCCTCAGACAGCATTGTTCAGGGATGCCTGACCTCGCTGAACTTTGTGAAAAGAGAAGCTTGCTGTGTATCAGGCATCAGAGGGACTGCCAATAAGTTGCCGAAACGAATTGCTTTTGTCTGTCATCGTTTGTCTTGTTATTACACATAGTTGTGTTTTTGTTAAGTCAATAAATCTTTCTTACCTTTCTACCCCTAACCACACTCTCAATCTAAACCCTCTGCAGGTGGCTGGGACACCATGTAGCAAGCAGAATTTGCAAAATACTTCAGCATCATTTGAAAACACACAGAATGCAAAATTATGCAGTATCTGTCTCTCTAATGTGTCTAGAACTATGAACGACACATGACCCCGGTGGCTGGGGCAGCATGGTGACCGCCTGCAGGTGGCGGCAGTGAGCGGGGAGCTCCTGCAGGTGGCCACAGCGGTTGCGTGGGGTGGCAAGTGGTGACTGACTGCAGGTGCCGCTGACAGTGCTTCTCTCAGGGGGTGCACCACCAATCCCAGGGGGTGCACATGCACCCGCATGCACCCCTATGCATTGCCAGTGTCTAGAGACATAGTTTCTAAGGAAACTTTGCAACTAATACTAATACTATATTGAAGATCTAGCAAACACCTCCAGTAGGACCACAGTGTAAAACTTGCCTGGGGCCCCAGGCTGAATCCGGGTCATGGGACCTCTCGAAGGCTGGATCCTACCCAGGGTATGAGGGATGCTGCACTGGCCGCTATGGTGGCAGCAGCCATATGGGGTCTGCCAGTTTTGGGTTCCATGCAGTATCTGGGGGCAGCCAGAGCACAGAGTGCAACAGGAGTGGGGGTACAGGGTCCAGGGGTGGCTGGACCATGGGGCCAGGGTGCAATGGGGGCAGGCTCCAGCAAGAGTGGGAGGAACGTGGGGTTTGGCAACCATGAGCCAAACTTGTCTGCAATGGCTGTGTCCAACAGGGCCAAAGGGCCCAACTTCTGGTGCTCTCCAGTAGCCCATATGATTGACACCCATGCTTTAAAAAATAAGGTTCTTTATGATCATTCAATTATTAAACTATCCCTGCTATCTCTCTCAATAACTAGTCAATTAAGATGACAAAAGATTCATTTAAAAATAGACTGAGGTCCCACTGAGCACCCAGCTGAACAAACTTCACTCCCTAAGATATAGTGAAGACTAAGTTGATAGTCTGGAAGAGTGGAGTATGTAAATGAATAGGCAATATGAAGGACTCCTGCATGCACCAAACCCTTTGCTAAATTTGATCCTACCTTCTCTCTTGCTCTCTCTCACAGAATTTAGCAAAGGGCATGGCCTCATAAACACTGCTTGGTTCTGGACAAAACTAGATATTAGAAAAAACTGAAAATAACAACACTTTATATTTATTTAGATCAAGCTGAAGAGGCAGGGCATTCACTCTTGGTGCCCTTTTATTCTCTATGTTTTACCTGTGGCCTCCTGCAAAGTGGGTTTGATTTTGTTTTCATAAGGTGTTCTGTGGCTGTGGTGAGCAAGATAGGGAAAATTTTTTGCACTCTTTGGATAATGATCATAAGGGACTGGATATAATGGCTCAGGAGACCCATTCTATGTCCTTGCTTTGTAGTAAAGAACCAGGTATATTTTTTCCAGGTAAAGAAGATGAAGCACAGAGAGATTAAATGTCTTGCCCAACACCCTAAAGAATGCTGGTGACAGGACCATGAGCCCTAGGACCTTAACCTTTCATTGCAACTGCATACGGGTGATTAACTCATATTTCCTGTATTACTATGTATGAAAAATGCATCTGTGTTTTGGAGGATCATCTTCCTGATTCCTCATACTCTAACACATCCTGTTCCTATGGTGCCATTTAACCATTTTAGCACTACAAATCCAGGTATCAAAAACACAAAACATCTTTAAGTTTTAAAACATTGCTATGTTATGGTGGTGTTGCAGCCATGATGGTCCAGAAATGTGAACACAAGGATTTCTTAGAGTGATCTCTTTTGCTGAACCAACAATATCGTTTGGGTTGAGATAGACAAGCTCTCAAATGTAAGACATTTTTCATCAGATCTGCTAAATCAATCCTATCTACACAGTTCGCCCAATAAAAGGTATCACCCTAAGAAACCTTGCCTCTTGCAATACCACAATACATGTTTACAAAGCTCCTTCTTTAGGGCACTGGAGATCTTGATCTGCAAAGAATAATTTTGCATCAGTAATTTATTAGATTATGGTTTTTGTTTGTTTTTTTACACAGAACATGATTTCATAGATTTCATAGACATTTGGGCTGGAAAGGACCCCGGAGGATCATAGAGTCCAGCCCCCTGCCCCAGGGGCAGGAAGTCAGCAGGGATCATAGGATCCCAGCAAGATAAGCATCCAAAAGTGTCTTGATGGCATTCAAAATGGGTGCTTGAACTGCCTCTGGCAGCAGTCTATTCCAAACCTTGGTGGATCAGACAGTGAAGAAGTTCTTTCTTATGTCCAGCCTGAATCGGTCGCAGTGGAGTTTGTGACCATTCGATTTTGTCATCCCCTGTGAGGCTCTGGTGAATGACGTTCCCCCAGATCCTGATGAGCACCCCTGATAAACTTATAGGTGGCTACCAGATCACCCCTGAGCCTGCACTTTTCCAGGCTGAATAGCCCCATTGCTCTCAGCCTCTCATCATAAGGTCTGTTTTCCTGACCTCTGATCATGCGTGTGGCTCTCCTCTGGACTCTCTCAAGCTTCTCCACATCCTTTTTGAATGGTGGAGCCCAAAACTGGATGCAGTACTCCAGCTGAGGCCTCACCAAGGCCAAGTACAGCGGGAGAATGACATCTTGGGATCTACTTGAGAAGCATCTATGGATGCAAGCCAGTGTTTTGCTCGCTTTACTAGCTGCAGCATAACACTAAAGGCTCATGTTCATCTTGTGGTCAACCATGACCCCCAAGTCCCTTTCATCTGTAGCGCTAACCAGTGTAGCACTACTGAGCCTATAAGCATGGTGCAGGTTTTTCCTCCCAAGGTGAAGAACCTTGCATTTTTCGGTGTTGAACACCATCAGGTTCTCATCCACCCATTTCATGAGTCTCTCCAGATCCGCCTGGATCACCTTCCTGTCCTCAGGTGTGGATGCTTTACCCCACAGTTTGGGGTCATCAGCGAACTTGGCCAGTCTGCTTCTGACACTAATGTCTACACCATTAATGAAGATGTTAAACAGTATAGAGGCCCTAGGACAGAGCCTTGTGGGACCCCACTGGTCACAGCGCACCAAGACGATTGGCTCCCGTCGACCACCACCATCTGGCTCCTACCAATCACAAGGGGTTAACTAGTCATTCAACCACTGCTTCAGGCAATGAGACCAGACTCAGCCCTGATTTTGCAAGTGGGCAGATCCCTGTATGGAGCCCTCCTTTGAGTTCCCCCAAGGCACAGATGCAGTGGCAGAATCACAGCCAGGGGGGCCAACAGACACCACAAGTGGGAGGGTGGAGGACCTGGGAGGGGACAGGCAGCAGAGAAGCAGAAAGCAGAGCAGCATATTGATAAGTGACCACAGGAAAGAGAGCAGAAAGCAGAGCAGCAGATCGGTAGAGAGAAGGGCAGAAAGCAGACCAGCAGATCGGGTAGGAAACAGAAAGAGAAGCAGCAGAGCAGGCAGGGAACACAGGGTTGGGAGTAAAATGCAAAGCAGCAGACGGGGGCGGGGGTAGAGGAGGGCAGGGAGCAGAAAGCAGAGCAGGAGATCAGGCCCACAGAACAGCACGCGGGGCACAGGGGGGGCCGCGCTGCCCCTGGCGCCAGGACACGA